ACAACCACTTGAAGCAATCGATCAATTTAAAAAGCAGCTCAGACCACCTTCATTGTAATCTCGAAAAAAGATTCAAGCTAACTTTGATGAGGATGAGTTCGAACTCTGGGATTTTTTGATGCGGAACAGAAAAGCAAAGAACGATTGACCATTTTTCCGACACCTGTCAACAGGATCAACCAACGTTAAATAAAAAAATTCGTACGATAATAAACGTCACTGAATTTCGAAAAAAAAACAAGTTTTACTAAAAAATCTAGATGAATCGTGTCGATTAAGATGGTCTGAAAAAAGACAACTGAAAAAAATAGTGGAACACATGCTCAATTCCATCAATTGGCTTGCTTCACACAAAAGCAAGTAATTAGATAACTTCAATGACTAAAATTTGTTTTATTCAACAGTTTTATCTTCCAAAACTCGAATTATGATGCCAAACTCTTGAAAATAATGATAGTTTCAAATTAATTGTCTGAAAACGGTAGCCAAAAATACTTTTAGGACGCCATCTTTCTCTCCTTTGAAGTTTCCTCTTTTATTCGAATAAATCAAGAGTAAGGCACTGCTTAGATGAACAAACCCAATGTTTTTCTTAACAGTTTCGATCACCCAAAAAATTTAATTACATGAATAGGGTAATTTCTGCAGTTCTCATGTATTGAATCTTGATGTGTGCAAACTGGAGCAGCAAGATTTTTATATGTTGTTCTACAAGTATAAAACATCTTTTATAGGGGAGAAAAAGGGTTAAATTATGCACCAAGCCATCAATCCATCCAGCCATCCATCCACCAGACCCTTCATCAATCAAAATATTCAACCATACAGTCATCTATCCAAACATCCATTCTGTCGTTCAAATATCTATCCTTATAGTCAGCCATCTGTCCAACCATCCATCCATAACCCTACCATCCAGCCAGCAATCAATCAAACCTTTCCTTTGTCTATACACTCATCGTACAATAAATGAATCAGATATCTATCCACTTGTCCATCCTTTGATCAATTCATCACCCAGACATCTTATTTTCCAGCGAGTCAACCATACTTATATTCAACCCTCGACCTGTTCAAACCATCTAACCATCCAATCAGCAGTCCCGATAGTCATCTATCGTTCAACTGTCTATCCAGCGTTCCAACGATTCAACTAATCATTAGGCCAAGTATCCATCAACCAGTTCATGCCCGCGTTCATTCATCGCTCGGTACAGCCCTTCATCCAGTGCATTCGATCGTGTTTGATTTAATTCTAATTAATTTTTACGTTTTTTTAAGCTTGGGGCCATTTGCTATATTTGATATCAATAACTATAAGAGGGATAATTAGTTTTTTAGTGGGATCAATAATTGTTTATAGGGGATAATAGATATACGTAAGGTTCATAAGTTATATATAGGAAACATTAGTGATACATATGTTCATTCACCGCTCTGTTCAGCCATTCGTCCAGTGCACTCGATCGAATTTATATATAGGAACCATTAGTGATACATATGGATCATTAGTGTTACATAGGGAGAGCAAATTTTTATAGGGGTAATTAGGTAAGCAAAGGGATTATTAGTTATACATAGAGATCATTAATCATACATAGGGATCATAAGTTATACTCAGAGATCATTAGCTACCGCAGAGATCATCATTCGTTACCATATCGAGAGATCAGTTACAAATTTATCAGTTATACCTAGTGATCATTATACATAGGGATTATTTCATATACATGGGTATTGTTAATTATACATAGGGATTATTAGTTATATAAAAATATCATCAATGATACACATGGATCATAAGTGTTACATTGGGTGGTTATTTGTTGGGGTAATAAGCTAAGCATGGGAGTCATTATTGTAACATAGGGAGAAGGAGTTTTACATAGGGGTAATTATTCATGCATTATGATTAGTAGTTATAAATAGGGATCATTAGTTATACACAGATACTTATAGTTATACTTAAGGATCAATAATTATAATACATAGGGACTATTAGTTGTATAGATAAAGATGATTATTAAAGCATAGAGATCATTAGTTACACATAGATAGAATTGTGGATCATCTATTATTGTTGCAGAAATGAAAGAAAAATTAAAAGTTTTGGAAAAAAAATTACAAAATAATTTTTGGAAAATTTTTTTCAAAAAAAAATGGAAACCAATTTTGAAAACCTTGAAAACAAAAATTTTGAAAGCAAAAATTTGATTTTTTTTTTTTAAAACTATGAAAAAAAGTGTTGAAAAAAAAATCACCACTTAATACATAGGACTATTGCATGTGGTGTAAAGCATGAGAAATTTTGGTTGTCATATAATACATGGTGACCATTATGATCTATACCTAATGGTCATCCATGTATGATGCCCCCCCATCATGGTGTACTATACGCATACTACTCATTTTACCTTTCAAAAACATGGCAAGTTAGAGAAAAATTGTTAAATGTACTAAAATTTTCAATTAAGTTAAGGGAAGACTAATTTGAGCATAGAAAAATCAATTCCTGTATCTAATGTGGAAACAGCTTTACCATAGTTCACCTTAAATACGCCCGGTAAAGATTAAAATATGAAAATAAATTTCATAAGAAACAGAGGACAATTTTTGAGGTTATATTAATCGAAATCAAAAAAATTTGCTGTTAATACAGTAGAAGAAATTGTAATTGATCATAAATGTCCATATACGCATGGTCAGAAGAAGGAATCAACGTTAATGACAATAAACATCACAACACTCCACAACGAGAACGGCCTATAAACCAAAAAGCTTACTATCTTAGATAAGGAAACGATGCCATTGTAAATATGAACTCACCTTGAATTCGGCAAGCCGTGTCAAATTTAAAAAATAAAATCTAATTCACGACCTAAAACTTCAAAATCAGTTTTTTAAATTCTTTCTTTAGTGAAGAAAATCCGAGCATTTTTGTGTCGTTTCACATACGACATCATTACATCATTGGCAAAATTTTCGTTCAGACACAATTCAACGGGAGGGGGGGGGGGGGGGGGTCAGCAAAAAGACACCATCTCTTTATAGTTGCGGGGCACCAGAAAACCATGATCGGGAATGACAACTTTCTACAGTTGGGAATTGAAATTGGACAGAAAAAGTTTAGAAACAATTAAAATAGTAAGTGTACCAGAAAACTCTCGTCTGAAAAAAAATTGAACTTTTTCAAACTCACTTTTTTAAACCAATATCATAAGATGACCAAATTCGACGAGGGGCGGTACTGTTTTTATTACGCTGATCTCAACAACAAGAAAAGCGGATTGACATTGAATTTTAAAACTGTTGAACGATCAGACCATTAAAAAAAAGATAATTTGACGAACGTCTATGTAATAATATATAACATTGTTTTCTAGTATTTTCTGACTGTTCTCAAGTTGGACAAAGCAGTACTGTGTCTGTTCGAAAAAAAAAACTAATTTCAAATTCTCGAATAGTTTTTTTAATTTTGAACATGTATGTTCACGGGGCTACTAATTTGTATGAAATGTACACCAGATGCTCGGGTTGAACTCCATAGACTAAAACAGCCAGTCATACAATAGCAACAACTAATTCAATGAAAAAATACTAGTCATACAAACTTTGCTTAATTAGTGTCATCGATTTTTCAAAGAACATTTTTGTGTTTCGGCATAAAATTCGATGTATCGCACTAGATAAAAAAGAAAAATTTTTTGCCAAAAAAGCTAATCATACAATTTCCATATATGTAAATTGTATGAATAGCAATTTTGGTGGCTAAAGTAATTTCGAAATTGCCCAAAATTTGTTTTTTGTTTTTTTTTCAACCCCAAGTCAAATTTTCTACTCAAATAAAAATTTTCCAAAAAAATTGCATGCAGGAAATTATTTTTTTTGTGTGCATACGTAAGCTAGATTTTTTCCACACAATTTGTTTCCATTCCTCAGGACAACTTTTTCCAAACAGGCTCAAAACTCTTATTACTTTTGTATGGCATGTTTAGGTACGCTTTAATCAATGCCTGATAATTTGAAAACTATAGTTTTAGAAATAATTATCTTTGAAACTTTTAAACAATTTTATAGAGTTTGATGCTTTCAGTATCTGGTTTGTGTTAGAAAAATTTTGAACATTTTGGGTCGTTTGCAATGTATTGTAAATGCAAAACGATCGAAACTTTGGTGACTCTAGTTTTGAATAAAACCATAGTTATGTCACTTTTACTCGGTCACGAAAACGTTCCAAAAATTTTGAGAAAAATTATTTAAAAAAAAAAACATTTTTTTTGGGTTTATGGGAAAAGACTAAAAATTCAATTTCCAATTTTAGAAAATCATTAATCAAAGACTTTTCATGCATTATTCTGTACTTATGGAAATGCATGAAAAAGTAAAAAGATTAGCATACTTCCATATAGGAAAAATGTATGATCAGGAGTTTTTGTTAACTCTGGTGATCATACTATGCGAGGATGAACAAAAGCTGTCTAAATAAGGTTTTTTTTTTGGTTTTTTAGACTGGTTCATTAATCAGTTTAATATACAAGACTGATTGACATTAACTTGGCGGCTTCATGTTAAAAGAAATGTTGGCTGAATTTTTCGTCAGAAATATCGCGAATGACAGAAATGTAGTTTAGCTGAGACAAGTAAAATTTTTCATTGAATTTTCAAACGAATAATCGTTGCCTTTGATTCGGAATCAAATCCAGGGCTTTCGACGACAAAATAAGTATTTTTCTTGCTCAGTTATTTGATCAACAGTTACCGAGTTATTACTATTACCACTTATCGAGTTATTTTTGAGAAAAAAGAAATAAAAGAAGTGTTTTACACAATTCAGCAAAAGTCTTACGTCCACAAAACATACCTGAAGCTGCTTTTCTTTAGCTACTCCTCATTTAAGCTACTGATTTTATGAAAAACAAACGTAAAATACAGAGCCAATTACGTTCTTCAAGGTCACCGATACTGTAAGAACTTTCTAAGCTATAATAAAACATGCTAACCGATGGTTCTTGTGAAGTGTAGGGTTCTTGAACTTCCAAGTAATATTTGCTTAGAAGAAACTCAGCTGCTTTGATCCTCCCAGATGTATCAATGGAGACTCCACCCAGTAACAATTCCACTTGTACTTCTTTTTTAGAAATGGGGCTAAAATAGTATCATTACTAGGCCAAACTGTAAATTTTGTGCATTTTAAAGGGATTCCGCAACAAGGACGCTCCCTTTGTTCTTCTTTTGTTCTTCACTTTCCTTTGATTGTTCCGACAAAGTTTTAGCATGTTTAGAGACTTATCCGTGGAAGCCAGGAACATACAGACACAAAATTGTGCGCCTATCCAGTACACATTTTGGCCTCGTAATGACTTGCTAACGTTTATAAAATTTTTTATTAAGACTGATAACTTTGCAGCAGAGATTTATCGATAAGACGCTTCACTGCCTATGTTTATGGCACTTAAAACATAATATTTTGTAAGAATCACAATTTTTAGAGAAAAAATGCAAAATAGCGAAAACTTGTCTCCATATAAAACCCAATTTTCTGTGCGCTTGAGGATTGGTGTTTCTCTTCATCAAAAAGGAGCTGAAAGAAACTTATTGTTCCGACTTTCGATACGAAAGTAACGGAATATTTGTGCTCGGGGTGGGTTTTTTTTTTGACGGAATTTTCTACTATCATTCGAAAGGTATTGTTGTCCTGAGCTCAAATTTGAAAAGATATTTCACCTGTGATCATTTTTGTAAAGTTACGGGGGTTTAAAGATTGTCATTTCGGCCAATTTGGGACAATTAACGCGCGATATAATTCGCGCTATTAACGCGTAAGCGGAGAGTTAATCCGTCTTAGAAATCGCTCCAAATTGGTTACAAGAAACTTATTTGCCATAATTGGTTTGTTACAAGGAGCCAAATCTTTGACGGAATTTTTTATATCATTCAAAAGGTATTGTTATCTTGAGCTTGAATTTGAAAAGATATTTCACCTGTGATCATTTTTCGTAAAGTTATGAGGGTTTACAGATTGCCATTTTGGCCATTTTGACCATTTTGGGACAATTAACGAGCGAAATAATTCGCGCTATTAACGCGTAAGCAGAGATTTAATCCGTCTTATAAATCGTTCCAAATTGGTTGAACGAAGCTTATTTCAAGGAACGAAACCTCTCTTTTTGTACTTTATATGGCGTGTGGGGTGATGATTTTAATAAAAACTTTCAGTTTTTTGAAAAAAAATTTCATTTTATTTTATTCCATTCATTTTTTTAATGCTATTACTGCTGCTCCATAAGACTTAAAAGGCAGTCGGAACAACCAGGGCTTCGCCCTGATACGAGCAGTCTTGTTAGTATTCAACTTAAATTTTACTCATGCTATTTGCGTGTGTCCCTTGGGTTTTTATCGTTGAAAGTACGATTTTAAAAAAGCAATTACCTTATGACCGGTTTGGCATTTATTGTGTTTAGAATATCTTGATCTGATAATGCAGAAACGACTGTGTAATTATAAAACCATAATTGTAATAACGAATCCTGAAAACACAATGCGCCAGTTTTGAAACAAGTACTGTTGTATTCTTTGCCATCAATCGAAATGTTAACTTTGATTTTTGTGTCCAGTTCGAGAGCTTCTAAAAGTACTGCCGATGTCAATACATTTTCAGCCTGTATCAGTATTTTCTCCTCTCTCACTTGTTCTGGAAACCAATCAAGAGCTCTTTTCGAGTCATCCCAAGCGCGAGATTCACTCGGAGCCCATAGTTTGGCATTGTTGAATTCCGTTTTCCAGCGAAATAGCCCAATCATACATAGAGCAAATAGAACAATTGTGATAATCATTGCTGCCCATGGTCGTTTTCCAATAAACTGACCTGTCCTAGAAATTAACACATTGAGCTCAAACTATTTTTTCTCGAAAAACGTATCCTTTTCATGTAGATAGTTCATTTTTAAACTGATTGAATGTGTTCATCTAAAGTGATTTAAGAATAAAATTAGTCCTAATTTTGATCTAATTAGCTTTGACATGTCCCAAATTGCTTGAAAACAATAACGACAATTGAAACGATTAAGTGTAAAATCCAGAGAAAAAAGACTACTAAAATTGAAATTCTAATAAAATAGCGAAAATGCCTAAGGCATAAAGCTTACAGTTTTCACCAACCAAAATGATTTAAGCACTTTTTTGGCGAACGTTGTGAGTTTTTGGTGGTGAGAAAAACATATTGTATGGGTTTACTTACTTTATTTTCTGGCATGCTTAAAGTTGGCAAAACGTATAAAAGTAACTTTTAACTTAAAAAAGTACCTAAATTATAACAAACGAAACTGACTCAAAACATTCAAAATAATTCGCTTTCTTAAAATTAATTTTGTTTCCAAAAAATGGGGGATTCAATTAAGCAAAAACTCAATAGAATGGCTACAAGAAGCTGCTTTTTCATTTTCATTTTTTTGGATCTTCTAAAAATTCAATTGGAATTACTTGTTATTCTTTCAAACTCATTATATGTTAATAACTGGTTTTTAAAATTACTAAAACATTGAAAATGTTTCCTTTTGTTATTTATAAATTGTTACGTACCTGAAAAACAGCGTTTCTACTGCTGATATAATAAAATTGCTCAGCTGCTCCAAGTAAGAGCATTTACAGATCTTTAAGTTTTGTTTCGAAGATTTCGCGTCATGATCACAGCAAAAATATTTTGTATCGGGTCTGGTTGTATCCGAAACAGTCATAATAAAAAACTGGTATCAAAATTTGCAAATGTTAGATCAAATATAAGCTTGAAAAAATCAAAGCGCTCAAGTCGGCTTTATTTTGGTAAGTATATCTTTACGCATCTACTTGATTTCAAATGTTTACAGTTGTTGATGAATTAGAATATCCATTACATCGAGAAACGTGTTTTGTATTTAAACAAAATAATAGTTTAAAAACGATGATCACCTGTGTTAAATGAAACCTTTTTTTCTGACCAACTTTTGATCAAAGCTTATTCTGTCGGCCCCGCGTAAATGAAGCAAACTAATTCAATCGAACTTTATTTAGCTGAAATCAACAGCTTATAAATGATTACATTTCCCGGGTTGGCCATGCTACGAAAAATTCTCCTATCTTAGAACTTCTTATAAGATTGTGGGAACTTTCCGCTATCTAACAAGTTTCTTATAACTAAAAAAAACTTAGAAAAAAACACCAGAAAAACTTGAAAACACCAAAACACTCAATTTATGATGAATAAAAACGTTTTTTATTGACTAAAATTTTTCCCATGACACATTACCGGAACTAACCTACGACGTGTATTTTCTACCTTAATTAACTTAGTATTATTTGTTGTTCCGTATATCAGAACAACATATTGAATTTTTAGTTGGAAGCAAATTTTGTATGCTCTCTCTAATTCTTTTGAATTCAAAACTTCGCTCAGTTTGTACAAATTCCTGAGAAACGACCTAGTTTTTTCTTGAGTACTTCTATATGCTCAAAAAAATTAATTTGCGATATAAGTTCATTTCTAAATATTTAAAACTTGAAATCTTTTCTATACCTTCCCCGCTTGCTTTGCTTTGACACTTAGACTTTGTGGATTTTTTGAATATAACCTGTTTAGTTTTTTCAGAGTTAAGGGATAGTTTTTTTTCAATTAACCAATTGTTTACGTCATGTTGCAGTTCAACTCTCTTTAAAAGTACAGAAAGCAAGCATACGACGCCAAACTCGACGTCGATATCCAGCTTGAAAACGTGCGTTACAGCTTTCAAGGCCACTGTATAATAATTTCTCTGATTTCCCAAATTGTACATGTAATCAATACAAAAAGAAACTTATTACAAAATTTATGACAAATTTTTTAAATTCCACTGTATTTCGAGGACAAACACCTCTTTGTCATGGAAAGCAGTTAACCAAATCTTGCTCTGAATAAAAGTACTTTTTCCTCAAGTTTTATTTTTGCTGCTGATATTCGCTGTTTGTCCGCGTTTTCCACGAACTGTCACTGGTTTGCTTAAACCTAAACATAAAAAAGGAGTGCTGAAATTTTGATATTGAAAATTGGTGAGACAAATACTATCGTAAAAATTGGAAGATTTATATCATAGGTTTCTTGCTTTTTGGGCAAACTACTCTCAGTACAAGAATCAAACGAAGAAACAGAAATCAATTCAACTGGACCGTTTTTGTTAGTTTGGGGCATAAAGAATTGTTACGGTTGCCTTTTCAAATTTCCGTCTGTACAAATTATTTCTAGCTGTTTTTCAAAAATTATGCTTCGGCTTATAGAAAGCTACATCATGCTACTAAGAACGCGCAAATTGAAGACAATCTTTTGTATTCAGCAAAGTAAAATATTTTGTTTCAAAATCTGCATAATATACTTAATTCTTCAGTCGAAGAGGGTGATCAGAAATGGTCTTCGCTCAAGTTGAATCAACTAAAGTTTGAGAACTTGTAGCTTCAAAGTTTAGGATAATGACACGTTGCCTTTCATTTTCGTGGGAACAAGGACGTAAGTGTTTTAGAACACAATATAACTAGAAAGTTTCCACTAAAAATTTCGATAGAAAAATTGCGTGTTATTGATAAAGGTCGACTTTTGACAGGCCAGATAAACAGAATAATTGGTAAGAGCACGGCCACATAAAAATATGATTCAGCTGCAAAACTATGAGCCAAAAATTGCGACAATCGATAATTAGTAAGATGAACTTTATTAAATGCTGTAACGCTGTAAGCAGGGCGGATCTAGGATTTTCTCGAGGGGGGAGGCGGATTTCCAAACAACTCTTGAAAATTTAGTCGATCTTTTTTTAAGTCGACCATATTGATTTTCGAGCACTCCCAAAGCACTGTTTTCTCCTTATTTTGGCCAAATTTTCTGCGCCGCAGGCAAAATTTTGAGAATACAGGCCAAAAAAGGCGTTTTTAGGCACATTTTGGAAAATGTTGACTAAAAAACTGCGTTTTTTCGGCAAGCGCTCCATCCTCAAAATTGGTATACATTGGCGCCAAAAGAAACATGTAAAACAATGAGCAGTATTTTTTATGGATGCGTTCATATCTGAGACGACCTAGTCGCAAGTCAGCCCATCGATGGCACTCCGAAACACGTTTTTGCATAATTTTTAACTAGTGAACTTGGTGTTGCTTGATGCAATTGGTGTTTTTTGGGCCATCGCTTGGCTGACTTCTGACTGCATTTTTCCATACATGATTCAAAAAGTGATCTCAAAAATATTGACAATTATAATGTGGGTAACAATAAGGATTTATGTGAAATGTTAAGTGCTGTTAGGATGTTTAACTGTTTGCTTCTAACTCAAGTGTCAATGTTGTGCTTTGTTTCAGATACTGATGTCGTGAATAGAAGACAACAATCCCATAAAAATATTACCCGATATTAGCCGGACAAAAGCCAGAATTTTGCTGGACTGTTTCTGGCTTTTAGAGTATTCAGCTCGCTATCACGCTATCAGGTTTTTTCTTAAGTTTTTTTTTGAGGAAGCTCGCCTGGTATGGATTCTCCCTAGAATAAGAAAAAGAACTGCTTTGCTTACTCAGCAAATGAGGAGAGTTTACTATCAGAAAGCAGTTTTTGTCTGGTTTTCTTCTTTGCTCAACGTATGCGATGGGAATTAAAATGTTTTTTTTGCGTCATCTTGTTGGATATATAGTTGCTAAAAAAACTAATCATACATCTTTCATATATGAAAAACTTCTTATTTCACAATTCCCATTAATGAAAAATTGCTAGTCATAGAATTTTTGTATATGAAAAATACTAATCATAGAATTTTCATGCAATTTTTTGTACTTGTGGAATTTTATGGAAAGTGTATGAATAGTTTTTTTACATATATGAAAATTTATGACTAGCCATTTTTGGTCAACCCGGGCAAGGCATTGCATATTAGTTTTCTAAAACTTTTGTGCTGTGTTTACTGAAAAACATTTTTCACTTTTCTTGTTTCTTAGCCTTTTCTCTCATCCCAAAGGAAAAAAATATACTTTTTTTTACTTCGTATACTGCAGCATTATCTTCCATTAAAAAGTACCCTGACAATCTACCCTTTAAAATTTTGCTAGATGAAGGTGGAGTAGGTTATTTACCAAGTCATTGCTTTTTGAAATAGAAAATCTAAAGCTATGGTTATCAGAATATGGTTTTAGCTAGAAACTGAGATTCCCAGTTGAAATCAAGCTTTCTTAACACATCTTGATACCAAATAAACTTGGAACAAAAAAGCGACACACTTTAGCCAATATCTTTTTTATTAGCGACAGGTTTCTTGTGTTTAGCTTCTCAACGTAATTTTTTTAGTTGGTTTGAGCAAATAGCTAATTACTTTTTCAACACGTTTTTGCCAGTGTTTACTGAGCTTGAATAGTTTGAAAAAAAAACATCAAAATTTCGCTGTTTCAATAGAGCAAAACCAAATACTTCATATATATTTTTAAAAAGCATCATAACATACTACCCAAAAAGCATGAGTTATAAATATGGATATCTCATGTGGTTTCAAAGTCAAAACGTACCCGAATTCAGCCCAGTTTGGTCGAGACGGTCGAAACATAAAGGGAGCACATATGAATATGAGGGGGATGTGTGATGAGATATGTTTACCAGATCGGTAGTGTGCGCTTATTTTCAAACGTAATTCAAACGTTCTTTCGTTGACTTTGGTAGTTTTTTTTTTCGGAAGGAAACAAGCTTCGCGGTGTCTCTTAGTTTCCCTGAATTGAATTTTCATCATTAAGTTGAATAATTAGATGAATCAGGAGCGGATTCAGGGGGGGGGAAGGGGCGAATCGACCCCTGCCGACCCTTCTTTGTACTATTTTGAGATATATTTTATTGGCGAGGTACCCTTAAAAATTTTCTGAAGGTGCCTTTGGCGCCAATGCATGCTATTTTATAGGGGAGAGTGCGCGCCGAAAAATGCAATTTTTTGGTCAAATTTTTCCAATAAGTGCCTAAAAACGCCTTTTTAGCCTGTTTTTTTAAACTTGCCTGTGGCGCAGAAAAATTGGTCAAAATGGGGTGGGTATTTAAAGTGATTTGGTAGAGCTCAGAAAATCAATTTGGTAGACCTAGAAAAGGTCGACCAAATTTTTGATTTTTTAAAATTAAAAATCCGCCCTCCCCCCTCACCCCTCACCCCTCCCCCCTCGAGAAATTCCTAGATCAGCACCTGAGATGAATCAAAATGAAATTGGAAAACATCTAAGAGTCAGAAAGTGAAAATTCATTTTTGAAACTATCTCAAGTCAGAAATATTTGAGAGGAAGTTACTGCCGGGATATCAGCATTTAGCCAACATTTTCTCCACTTTGATCAAAAACAATCTATCTGACCCCTGTCACTAGTTTTTTTTTGTCTGTTGTCTAAGTTTTCGAAACCAGCAAAGTTTTGGCCTTTGCTAAAACTGGTTTGAACGTGTGACAACCGGTGGTCAAACACGCAAACTTCAAACCTTACGGATTGATGATTAAGATTAAGACCATTTATCCGCGGTGGAAAGGACCAACACAAGAGCTCATCAGGGCGAACCGTTGTTGTGCCCCTGTTTAAGAACTACATGCCATTTTTCTGGTTGTTTTTCTGGACTGGGTAATGTTGCCTCATCCTCAAGCAACGATCACGGATCATGGTGGGCCTCGAACATCCGGCCTTTCGAATGAGAGGCGGAGACGTAACCACTTCACCACCGCTTCTCAAATGTTCGAGCCACCGAAATAGACAAACAGAAAGAAGAAGAACAAAACAAGAATCCAGAAACACCTGTAGTAGCTGACACAGGAAACACTTCAATGTTTTTTGAATAACTCCTCCCGCCAAGAATCCTATGAAGCAAGCGTTGTCTTAAAAGTGGCATTGAACTTGAGAGCTGCCCCTTCGTCTCCTACCTCACTAATTATTCTGACCTTACCTATCTCGATCTTCGAATTTGATTCAGCTGGGAAACCGTCAAGCTCCAAGTCCAAGTAGGGCATTACAGGCCATGTAGTTCTTCCCACCACCACCCCCCCCCCCCCCTACTTCTACATACAATCACACACTTTGGCTCCTGTTGTTAGCGAAGTCTTTGCAAATTTCAATCCTTTCGGCTTCCCATTTCTTAGTTGACCTTCTTGGTAGGTTTCACTTTTAACTCCAGTCCCTCCCTGACTGTCCTCATGGGTCAAAGAATCGTTTGAATCCTGCTAGCGACGGTAGGGCGAGTCAAGTTGGCTTCAAGCGGAATAAAGGCTGCCAGGCTCAAAACTTCGCGGTACGACAGAAATTGGAACTGCGCGGTGGGTACAAACGAGTCTAAAACTTGATTTTCGTCGATTTCAAGCAGCATTTGACAGTGTTGACATCAACTCTGTTTGATCAATCTCTAAGAAGCGGGGACTCAACAAAGAATATTCTGAAGACCGTGTACACAGACAATGGTACAGACCACCAGCAGCTCCTGGACAAGATATTAGCAAAGCAGTACATGTTGGTCTCCAACTCGGTATAGGGGCCACGCAGGGGCCAACTCAAGAGCTAACAGTAGAAGCCAGAGGCTGAGATGACTCTGCTACTTGGGGAGTAGGGTCCAGCCAGATGGCAAAATAGCTAAGCAAACAAAATCTCCGAGTAGCAAAAGCAACGTAAAGCATACGAAACAAATCGCAGGAGGTATAGATAAAATTTACAACTTGTGTTAAGACCATGTTTTTCTATGGTTGTAAAACGCGGTTTCTAGGTATCAATGTTTCTGATAACCTGGCCTTTAAAAAACTCGACGCCAGGGATTGCATATTGATTTTAGAAAAAAAGTAGGCTGTGTTTACTGTCTCTCTCGCCCTTTAAGAAAATCATATATTTTATGTAACTCATATACTGCAGAACTATCTGTCATTAAAAATTACCCTGACAAAATTTTGCTAGTGCAATGTAGAGCAGGTTTTTTCTCAAGTCAATGAAGTTACAATAAAAATTTTAAAACTATGGTTATCAGCCCGGGTTGACCTCCATACACCAAAAATGCTTATCATACAATTCCATACATCAAGTGTGTGGGAAAATGTTTGTCATGCAATTTTCATACAATTTCTAAAAATGATTGAAAACTGGTATAAACTCATTTCTGTGGCTGTTTGATTCTAATAAAACAATCTGGTGATAAAAAACTGAGGTTTTCGTTTTTGAAAAAAATGCTTATCATACAATTCCCATATATGGAAATTGTATGACTGGCATTTTTTTGATGGCGACACAAAAAAAATTTTTCAAGTAATTTTGAAATTTTGGCCCAAATATTTTTTTGTTTTTTTTTCAACCGCAAATCGATTTTCGTACTCAAACAAACATTGTTGTTATATCACTTTTGTTATATCAATTGTGAAAGACAGCCATATTCAGGTCGTTTTCTATGCATTGCAAGTGCAAGACCGTCCAACCTTTGGTGTTTTGAGTAACCAAGGTCTTTGTCACTTGTGTTCGGTTGCAACTACAACCGAAAATTTTTCAGAAACTAAATTTAGAAAGAAAAAATCCAAATTTTTGGTTTATGGGAAAACACCTATCATACAATTTTCATATATGGAAAAATGCTTATCATAGAGTTTTCATACAATTTTCTGTACGTATGGAATTGTATGAAATTGTATGACAAGAAGTTTCTCATATATGGAAATTGTATGATAAAAAGTTTTGGTCAACCCGGGAGATTGTAGTTTTAGCCAAAAATAAGAAATAAAACTATAAATCTCAAAACTACCTTGAATTCGAGCTATCTTAACACTTCATGATCCGAGCTAAGCTTAATACAAAAAGTCGAGATAGCTTTTAGACTATCTTTTTTTAGCGATAGGTTACTCGAGGTCAGCCTCTCATTTTAACCTCTTTTGTCGGTTTGACCAGATTTCAAAAACATAAGATGGTTATCATCTACTCACTTTTTTGATACTTGCATAGTTTAAACAAGAAACAATAAACTCAAATTTAAGTAATATCCGAGAAATACTTGAACAGAATTGCGAGTTATTAGTAAACTACAATGCGGCTAATTAACGATTAAGTAAGAGCAAAGTCATCTCTTAAAATGTACCGGAATTATTGTTCCGACTTTCGATACGAAAGTGACGGAATATTTGTGCTCGGGGTGGGTTTTTTTTTTCGTCATACAAATTTCGACTTTTTAACTAGCCATTTTTGACGGAGTTTTTTTACATCATTCGAAAGGTATTGTTGTCCTGAGCTCAAATTTGAAAAGATATTTTACCTGTGATCATTTTTCGTAAAGTTAAAAGATTGCCATTTTGGTTTAAAGATTGCCATTTTGGCCAATTTGGGACAATTAACGCGCGAAATATTTCGCGCTATTAACGCGTAAGCGGAGAGTTAATCCGCCTTACAAATCGTTCCAAATTGGTTAAAAGAAGTTTTTGTGTCATAATTGGTTCGTTACAAGGAGCGAAATCTATCCTTTTGTACTTTATATGGCGTGTGGTTGGATGATTTTCATAAAAAATTTCAAATTTTAGAAAAAACTTTTTTTTGATTTTGTTTTATTTCATTGAATTTTTTAATGTTATTACTGCTCCATAAACCTTAAATGGCAGTCGGAACATTCAGGGTTTCGCCCTGATACGAGCAGTCTTGTTTGGAATTCAGACTTCATGCTCTTTTCCACCATAATAAATGCAAGTGGTTTTGTTTAGATAGATTGTTTGGATGTCCTTTTTTTTCAGATGAGAAGAAACATTTCAACTTTGTTCGATCAACAATAAATTGCATCAAAACTGTGGTAAGTTGAAAAATTTTACAAATTTAAAAAAATTCTTTGCACATTCAAAACATTTTTAATTTACAGATTTATACACTCTACAAATCTACAATACAAGAACTTTTCATGACCAAAATTGGAACGAAACTCAAATACAATCAAAGTTATCTTTTATTTTGGTTTAAGACAAACAAAATTCCATTTGGCCGGTTCAAGATGTGTAAGATCTCGTAAGCAATGTCACTACACCAATTGTACCTGTTTAAGTCAACTTAACTCTGAAAAACTTACTAAACAGATAAAATTGGTGCGGAATGCACATTTTTTGCTATGAACATTCCATTATTGTGTAATGACAGCGGCTAACACGTATGAATAAGGGGGGTGTGGGCTATGGCCACGAGATCTTCAGCGTAAGTTTAGCTTTAAACGTCATTCTTGACGTTTTTCGTTTTGACTTTGGTAGCTTCTTCTCTCACTGGAAGTGACCAAGCTTCGTGGCGTCCTTTCGCTTCCTTAAACTCAACTTTTATTGTTAGGCAAAAAAAGTAGACAGATCAAAATGATATCGGAAAATATCTAAAAGTTACATACTGAAATAAGATTTTTGATATAGTTTTGTCAGCAATTTAACCGATGGTGTTGACGTATTTTTTGATGAACAAATAACTCAAAAAATATTCCGTTTTTGGGGTAAATTTACTGCCTGAAATTTTCAAAATTACTCGCATTACAATATTTCCACTTGAATTTATTTTTTGTCTAAAGTTGAGAAAAAAACGCGTTTTAATTGTATTTTGAGCTGACCAGAATTGTCAAAACAAAAAATTGAAACTTCTGGGGTGCCAAGTTTTATTTTGAAGTGGTTTTTATGAATTATTTTTTAAATTGATTTTATCACTGTAAATATTGAATGAGGACGACCTGGCGTAACCTTTCCTGTTCACTTTGCTAAAAGTATCAGCAGATCGAGATAAATAAAAACAAACGTACCTCTTTTTTCGCTTTGAGGGCCGACTGATATGGCGATGGACCCAGTATACTCAGGGTCACTGGTAAGAACAAAAGGCCATGGTATAATCCAAGCAGCGATGCCAAGATGAAAGTCTGAAAAATAAAAACGTTGCTGATGGTAAAGCGGTCATTTTCTGTAATCTGCCAAAAAGTCTTAAAAATAGAAGGAAAAAAAAATTAAAAAAATTGAGTCTTAGGGTGTTTATTTAAAATTAATACACTTTTTTAAATTCAGCAAATAATTCAAGCTGTATTTTTGCTCAGAAAATTCTGGCCAAAGATGATTATTTCTGAATTTTAGCCAATTAAAGGTTACGCCAAAACTACCAAATCATTTGCTAATAAAATTATAACAAAGTGAGCCTCCTATGTAGCTCAACTAAATTCACAAAGAAGATCATCTCCATAAGTTTCCGCAAAACATTTAAAGTTCCGTTTTAGAGAAATAAATTGAATTTTGCTTAAGCTAAAATATCATCTAAATGGCGTATTTTTATATGACTGAAGAAATCAAAAATTACCAAAATTTTTGTTAGATTTTTGTTCCGAAACTTAAAGAAAAAAAAACTTCATTACAATTTGCTGATACTGTTGCTGATACTTTTGATACTTAAGCAAATTTTGTCTGCATCATCTTTTGGCTGAAATGAAACAAAAAAGTCATTTAAAAGATCAATTTATGTTCATTATAACCCGATAAATTATTTCAGCACAGCAGTATTGAAAATTTGTGGCGATTTAAACTTGAACTCCAAAAAAGGAATTCCCTAGAATTTTTTTGGTACATTTAATCGAATATAGAAGTTAGCCGTGAATCCAATTGTAAAATATTTGATAGGAAACAAAAAGCATGTGTTCTAACTTTTCATCAGTTTATTTTCTTCATCAAAATCAAGACAAAAAATGAAAATGAGTGGTCATAAGAGGCATGAAAACATTTTATAAAGAACTATAGGCAAAACTTTGACGCTGGCATAAGTCACCTGACAAAGTACTGATCTTTTTAGATATGACATTTATCTAGAGCAAAAAGAGTTCACACCTTAATCAATCGAAGTTTGCAAACCAGTTCATTATCGGTAATTTCTATGAATCAGTTTTTGTATTACAACCGAAAAAAAAATCAATTAAAACTGCATCAATTAGAGCAAAAAAAATGTACTTATGAAAAAACCTCATAAAAACTTTAATACAATTTACTCTTTCATTAACTTGCCCGAAAAATGTCCATGAAAGCACGCTGAGTACTTAAAATTACCAAATTAAAGTTCAAGTAAATAAGAGTGGATTATGTCAGAAGCGTAATTTTTTCAGAAACCCAGCAAACGTTTTTTTTTTTCGTTCCCGGCCGCAAACTATTTTTTATAATCAATATATCTATCAAAACTTTCACTGGCGTACTGTTTTACTCAAAAATGAGCTCTAAAATTGACTGATGCGCGCTAAAGTTTTCGAAAAAAGCGTGACATAAAAGTTGAATCTCTGCTCAAAAATTATTCCACACTCTCTTAAAGAAGCCAATTATTGTTAAAAATGTGTCACTAGATGTTATAACAATAAACTTATACGATTTTGAAAAACTGGAATATACGCTTCCAAGTTGAAATATGTATTCAATCTACAGAAAATTGAATCTGTAAATTCATTTTTAATAACGACCATCCCTGATACTTTTTTTAATTATTACCAACATTAATACTTTCTTTAAATACACCTTTATAATTCAGTTTCATCAAGACATTAATACAATGATCATTGTTGTGCTAAGTTATCAGATTTTTATATCAATTGAACATAATTAAGGGGCGGCTGGTTTTATTTGGAACATTTAAAAAATTTGAATTTCAAATCAGCTAGGGTCTTGTTTCCAAGATTTTTTAGATTAATGTATTTTTCAATCTAAAATGTAACGAAAAGAGAAAACTGAATTAAGCGATAAAATTTAAAAAGAAATTCTAAAAAACAAACTCCGTATTTGAAACTGGAAGTCACTCGCATTTTTTGATTAATTTTGTGTTCGCAGAACTGAAATTGCTTTCTTTTAGCGAGTTTTTATCGATTTCAAAATTGTAAAAAAAATGTGAAAAAAAACGAAAAGACTAACACGGCTTATCACTACTTTCACACAGATTTTACCAAATTAATTAACTTTAAACCAAAGCCGATCATTTTTATAGATTATTCCGGAAACTTTTAATACAATTCATCGTTTCTAAATTTCAATATAGCCACCAAATGTTTTGAAACTTGTCAGTTGGCACAAGTTATTGGTGTAGTTAAAAGTTTTTATTTTGTGATTAAATCAATTCTTGCATTTTTTTCTAGCATTTGATGAAACCTCCTCCTTGGAAAATTGCAACGTCGAAGAGGTCAACTTGAAATGTCAAGCGAGCCATCATGATTATGCTAATTGAATCGCATGTAATTAGGCAGATTTACATAACTCCTAATCTTTTGGATTTCGGTTTAGAATTTATAATATTGGGAGCAATGTTCCAAAAGATGTTTATACGATTATTGATCAGAGTTTTTTCAACTGTATTCAAAAAACATAACTATGTACAGATTATGGTAAAAATTGTAAGTAAATAGTGGTTGAAACAGTTTATGGTTCGTAAAACAATCTTTTAGTTGTTGCTTTTTTGTATTTCTTCTTTTTGAATGGTTAGTGAACAATTTGAAGGCTTTCCAGTTTGTTAGTTTTGTTTTTAAGGTCAGTTTTAGGGTGTATATTATCGGGCGCTCTTTGTTTTTTTTGACTTTTTGAAATTTTATGATTGCAAAACTAAATATCATAAATGATTGTTAGGTTGTTTGATAAAAGTTTTTTTTAAGGTTCTGATTTGAGAGAATTTAAAAAACTTCGGAAAAAAAACAAATCAGTGGCAAAAAAAACGGAAGCGAGTTTTTTGGTTTTCAATTTGACCTCGTGGAAACGAGAATTGATGATCTAAGCGGTAAAAAAATATATTTGAGACAAAATAATTTAAAAATTATAGAAAGAAATCGCAAAAAAATACGAAGAGGCCAATTTGAAGTATCAAGCGACTCAAGTGCCTTTAACTTCATTTTTAAAGTTGAACTGCATTTAAATCGGCAGATTCACATTATTTTCACTCTTTTTGGTTTTGCTTTACAATTTATATTATCGGGATTCAGGTTTCAACTTATATATTTTAATCTGCGTTTTCTAAACTGTGTATATTAATAATACAAACATATGTTAACTAAGGTAGAATTTGAAAGTAAGGAGTGAATGAAACAATTTATAAATGGTAAGACTTCCATCTAGTATTAGTTTTTGTATTTCTTGTTTATGAATGGTTATTGAACATTTTGAAAAAGTTGGAACACTTTTCGATCAGTTCGAATTTCGGTTCGAAATTTTATCAGACTTTTTTTTCACTGCTGTCAAATCAATGAACCTTTGTTTCCAAAAAAAACTGAGTAATGCTAAAATATTTTTTTTGGCAGGTGTAAAGAAGGAGTGGTTTGTTTTAGCTTTAAAGTTTTTACCTTGAAAAAAGTTTTGAAAGCATATGAAGTGGAAAACGCGAGTGGTAGTAGAGCAAGACAGTTGCTAAAACCTCCATTGAAGACTGCACTTCCAAGTTCAACCAAACACTTCTGAATGCGCTCTATAAAAATTCAACTAAGATTTCATGATTTAGTGGGGAAAACACCGTTAAAGGATTATTAATTGCGACTTTAATGACCTATTATAAGGTAAGCAACAAATAAAAGAACTAACAATTGCTTTCGTCGTATTGAGCTGGGTGTAGATTAGTGTGAATTCTAATTGATTTTCTAGCATATCACGCACAAAAAATGGCACAAAATTGAACGAAACAAAACTAGCACAGCACCGACTCTTCTTATGATCTGCTGTGCGTTTTCTTTTTTTTCAATTCTTTTGTTTTTCTAAGTTAATGACTTAAACTACCTATCTGGAAATAATCAAGACGGCCAATTAGAATAAAATAAAGGGCACTTGTTTAACACAGAAAAGCAATGAAAAGGTGTCTTATTCTACAATGAGTAATAAAGTATGCTCTTATAAAAAAATAGATTGTTTTTACAAAATAAAACAAGCAAAAAACAACAGTCATAAAAGCCGCTTTAAGGTCAAAAACAGATCAGTATAAAAAAACTTTTGAAAAATAATCTATTTCATACCCCCTGATTTTTTGAGCAACCTGATGGCTATTGTTAATGGTCCAGCATGCTTGGAACAAGTGAGTGATGTGCTGGCTCACCGTGGAGCCCCGATAACCAAAAATGAAAACAGTTTCAGGATAGACGAAAAAAGCTGCCGGGAATAATTAAAACCCGCACCGAAAAAAATGGATTGGGATCGATTTTAGTATAAAAAAAATATGTGGAATAAAATTAGATCCATTTCAGTATGAAAAAAGTACGAATATTAAGAGAAAAAAAGATAAAGAATGATTTGGATCGATTTAAAACTGTTTTTTAAATGAAATATTTCAGGTTTTTTGTGAAGAGTATGTTTTTTTGCCGTGTTAGCAAAAATTTGGGTTTTAGCGAGTCTGAAAATCCATCCAAATTGGTTGATATCGATTTTAAGACACTTAAATTGATCCAAAATTTTCAATAAAGATTGATTTAAATCGATTTAAAACGGATTTAAGTAGTTTTCGGATAGATTTAAGTGAATTTCGGATGCATTGCAGTAAGTCGGAAAATCCCCCCAATTTGATGTGAATCAATTTTTTGGACACTCAAATCGATCTAAAATTTCTTCCCAATAGAGTTTTCTTCCCAATACCGACCTTTTTATTGGCCTAATCTATGTTGTGTTATTATAAAAGACTTAAAATAACGTATTTCAGCAAATTTTTTTGGGAATGTAATTCGACTAAATTGGCACTAAACCCACGTTTTGTACACTTTGATTGGTACGTGCTCCATCTCAACCCAGTTGATTTAGTTATTTAACAGCTGGTCATTTTCTAGAAGGCCAGTTTTCTAGATGAACAGTTTTTGATCAAATTCATTCGGTTAAGCGAACAGAAAATATGTTTCTTATCAGAACCAATAATTGCGTAAAACCAAATTGAAAACTTTTGAAAAAGCATCATATTTCCTGAGACCTGAATTTGTCAAACCGCTAAAGGTAAAACAAACAAAATTGCTCGTATCAGTGCGAAACACTGATGGTTCCGACTGCCTTTTAAGGTCTATAGATCAGTAGTAGCATGAAATAATTAAATGTAATTCAATAAAATTATTTTTTTTTTGTTTTTGAGATTTTTGTGAAAATCAACCGACACCTGCCATATAAAAAATGAGCAAAATGTGATAGATTTTGCTCTTAGTATCAAATCAGTTATGTCAATTAGGCTCCTTTCAACCAAATTGAAACGGTTTCTAGGAATTGCTACTCGAATAAATATTTTCTAAGACAGGCTAGATAATTTCAAGCTTGATTAAAAGTCAAAATTTGTCTGAAAAAACCGAGCACAAATTTTCCGTTACCTTCATTACAAACAAAAAACGGAACAATAAATACTTTTTTTTGCTTTGAACAAAATTGTTTCGATTAGTATCAATTTTACTAGTGTCTTTTCGTTTATACCGCCCAATTCACCAGATTACCGCCCAATTTAATGTAATCTTACGCTATAAATTAAAAAATTAGTATTCAGACTTTGTGTGTAATTACTAACTAACTTCCACCATCAAAAATCAAAAAAAAATTCTTTAGTATACCAAATAAAACCGAATGTATTAGGGTAAGGCACTGAAAGTTCCGACTTCCTTTTAAGGTCAATGGAGCAGTAAAAACATAAGACATTTAAACATAATATCAAAACTTTATTATATTTTTTCTAACTTTCAGATTTTTTTGAAAATCATCCACCCACACACCTTAAAAAGTACAAAGTGATAGATTTTGCTCCGGCTAACGAATCAATTATGGCAAATAAGCTTACTTCAACCAAATTAAAACGATTTCAAAGACGGATTTAATTTACGCTTACCCGTGAAAAGCGCGAAATATAGCGATCGTTAATTGTCTCAAATTGGCAAAAAATGGCAATTTTTTTAACCCCAATAACTTTACAAAAAAAGATCACAAAAAATATCTTTCCTTTTTAAAGCTCAGAACAACAATAATTTTTGATTGGTATAAAAAAAATTCGTCAAAAATGGCTAGTTAAAAAATCGAAGTTTGTCTGAAGTATAAAAGCCACCCGAGCACAAATGCTCCGTTACTTCCGTTACGAAAGTCGGAACAATAAGAATTTCTCTACAGTTTTATTGGAAAATCTTCTCACTGTAAAACTGATAACTTTTCAGTATTTCGATCAAATTCGGTTTTATAACAGAGAAAACTGTTTCACAGAATTTCATTTTTGGCGTAGGTCTAATGCGCTTTTTCTATTAAAGGGGGGTTATTGGCATGGGTCGTAGTTTCCCCTGTTTTTGCCTGATTTAGATCATAACTTCAAAAAGACATTACAACTCTTCTTAGTCTGCTGCAATGTCAACGCATAAGCTGCTAGAAAACCTACTCTAAGTTTTATGAATAGAACACCATAAACATAACAGTTTATTTTTCCTCTGACATACGTACAACTACAGCCTTCTGCATAATTAATTTTTTTCCAATTTTTTTCATAAGTACCTTCTCTGGTTCCTGTGTTTTTCATGAAAGCCAGCCCAATATGAGCAGAGTAGTCAACAGCCAACCCAATAGAGAGAATTATGAATGTAGCAGTCAAAAAGTTCACATCCACGTCCCAGAAATACATCAAGCCTGCGACGTCCACCTGCGTTGTCAAATAGGAAGTTATGTCATAGCATGTAGAAAGAAAGATTAGTCTATAAAATGCACGTTTAAAAAGTTCCAATCATGTTTCACAATCGAGTTGTAGCTTAATTTCTCTCCTTTTTCTCGAAATATAAAACTTTATTGCAATTAGAATTGAACTGAAACGCTAGAGTCTGACTATCTTTTTGCATCTAACGGTTTTTTTTAGTATCATAACTTCAATTTTTGATCATAAACTCCTAATCAGATGTGCTACTCAAGATAAACTGAAAAAAAAATCGAAAAAATTCTGTTTGTTCATTCAAACTTATTCTAACTATTCGCTTTCACAGAGATCACACACCATCCCAACTGACCAGCCAGAGTAAAAGAAACTTGGACCTCTTACAAGAAACGTGAAGCAACAGAGCCCTTCTGCTTTGATGATAAACTCTTGCTGCAAATCGTATGAAGTTTTCAGAAAAACTGCCCACAGTTGTTGTCTATATTTGATCTCTGTAACATTTCTGTATGCCTGAATATTGCTGTGAAAATACTGGGCTAACAAAGATTTGCTTTTTGACTTCAATTTCAGGTGCTTTTCTCGGGTCTAGGACAAAATCCCCCAGGATAAAATCTCTGATTTCTATTCGATTGGCTAGAGCCAGTTATGTGCAGTAAGCATAAATAAGTACTGTTCGCACGTTGATAACCTACCATGGTGATGACGACACACGTCAGTACGAGTAGACACGTGACTATGTTTGCCACGAGAAGCAAGTTCACTAAAAGCACAGCCAGAAAAGCCAGCAGCATATTGCGGACCAACTCATCCAGCATTATCTAAAGAAAAGTTTTTTAAATGACAATTTTCTGCAGTTTTTTTATTTAAACCAAAATCAATGTACGATTTACTGTTTTAGCAACAATAAGGTTTTTATATACAAAAAACAAAACAAGTTTTTTTCGAGCACTGTTTAATTTACCAGCAGTAAATTTTAATCACAACATAATCATCATACACTAAACCAAAAACGAATTTCAAGTAAAAGGAATCCTGTTCTTACTTCACTGCTTTTTAACACGAGCTTTGCTTAAATTTTCCAGAATTTAACTACGTTTTATTTCTTTCATAAAATTTATCGGAAAATCCTTATCAACTCTAACAAACACTAAATAAAAACAGAGAAATCGATGTCAACCAAAATAGTCAATAGAGGTAACCCGACATCGTTTTGAACCTAAGGATTTTCGAAAGGCTTCAATTGAGAAGTTTTGTTACCAAAGATTTTGAGAAGACATCAAGATTCTCAGAGGGCTTCGGAGAGGGCGCCTAGCAAAAAAGGGTGATTATTAAAATTTACAGCAGCGCAAACCTAGGACATCGGATTGGCGCCAGTTTATCGAGAATATAAAAGATTTATGTGTTTTTACAGATGTTCTTTGATATTGGTTTCAAAGTCGGTCAAAGACTATTTAGGATACAAACTGGGTAGAAACAAATTGAGGAGTTGGTTTAGGCAACTCCCGGTTTTATAGCTTAAAAAATCCAAAAATGCCCAGAAAAGACAGATAAGAATCAATTCGATCGAAAGATGGCACTAGGCTTTCGAGATGGGAAAAAGACGGGCTTACTCTACCATCCAAAACGGATCATTCTTCAAATCAACTCTTCAGAACAAAGAATCAAAGCTTGTCGAAGACCAAACAAGACCGATTAACTGGGGAGCAGTTGTCGCAGGAAAGACGAATTACAAGAAAAGATCATCCAGATTAGTCAAAACTCTAAGCCGTTACACCCACAATAACAACTTCAAGCAACACGAGAGCCTGTTCAGGCAATTTGGTTTTTAGCTTTTTTCTTTACAATTACCCTCTGATCTTTTGAGGGCATTGTTTTCACTCTTAAAGATTCTTCGCTGCTCAGTAACATGAAGGCCTTTTTATCAGTTTTTATTCTAATTTTTTTGTTCTTTTGTTCTTCATCAATTTTTTTTGATATGCGTCCCGTAATACAAACAGTCAATTTTTATAGTCTTTTAGAATTGTCATCTCCCTCTGTGGTTCCAAGTGAAGCTTTTATAACAGTTTAAGACAAATGGTGAATTAAAATAAGTTAGTGGCTTCTTTGCAATAGAGGAGAGGCACAACAAAATAGCAATACATTCAATTTTTCACCTTCTCGAACTAGAAAAAACTCGTTCAGAGAGAAGGCCTCAGATCTTGATATATTACTCAGTTTGACCACAGTTTTTCTGGCGTTGTCCATAGTTCGAATTCGGTCAAAAGACTTCTCATAAGATTGGATTAAGTAGCGGTATCGCGAATACTGAAAAAAAATCTGATGATAAAAATGTTTGATCATAAAACAATTTTGATAAAGAGGTAGTATATGTTGGTGGCGCTCAAAGGGGGGGGGGGTGTCTCCCATGTATTAAGTTAGAGATTAGGGCTTCCGGTCACCAACCTATGTATTAAGTATTTTGATCAGTTTTGCCATGTATTAAAAAACGAGGTTAGAGATGGTAAGATGGTAAGTTTCAAAAAATTTTGGATCCCAAAAATTTTTGGAGCTCGATTTTGTCGATACTTGAATTTTGTAGCTAACTCCTATGATTTGTGCTATGTAAGGGCTATCTTTTCTTACAAAACTTCGGTATGGTAAGTTTCAGATTGTAAGTTTCAGAAAATTGTTTAAAAGTTTACTAAGTTTTACTTGCAAATACTTTTTCATCTTGAAAAAAAAATTTTTATCTTGAAAAATCATAAAAAATTTTTTTGCATGCTAAGCTTCAGATAATAGGTTTCAGATTTTTTTTGCATATTTTTAAAAATTTTTCTTGCAAATACATTTTTATCCTTACAAAACCTTTTTAACTCGAAAACCGAAAAAAAATTCGGATGATGCGTTTCAGATGGTAAGTTTCGACAAAAGTAAGTTTTGATTTAGGTAGCGAATCAAAAACTAATATATAACTGAAAATTTTTTTTCTCGAAAGAATCTATTAAATAATTATTTCATCTCATTTATATTCCCTCAGGTTATTTGGGGAAAATTGACAAGATGGGATTATTTTTGACAGGTAATAATTCCACTCCACGGGATATCAGGGGAAATTTGACAGCTCCTCACGGTTGATTACTTTTACGTCCCACTTAATCTTTTTTTCCACAGGTTATCTGGATAAAAGATGACAGCTCCATCCTACTTAATAATAATATGATTTGTTTTATCTTCTTTCACATAATTATCACACGATCACATGAATATTGCATATTAACTTTTCCCCGCAAGGTTAATGAAGCGTGAATTGCTCTCTTGAGAGATTAAAAATGTAAAATTTTCATAGAAAAGGGGGAATCAATCTATTCAAAACTGCATGAATTTTTCATTGGATTGAAGATATAAAAATTCAAAATTTTTTAAGTTTTGACCAATCAGATCTTTTTAATCAGTTATCATTTATACCTCAACAAGTTCATTTGATCTGTCATAAATCTTGCTACGACAAATTTCAGTTCTCTTTTACCTCTTTGTCTTCAATCTTTTAAAAATTCGATAGAGTTTCTGAAATTTCCCACAAACTATCATCAAAAATTGCCATTTGCTCTGACCCGGTAAAAGTTTACACTGAGAAAGATATAGTGTCATAGAAGTTTTTGTGTCTGATATTTTTGTATGTTAACTTTTCTATCTTTCTCAGAGTAAATTTTTAAGACAGTTACACAATTTACTAGAATTTGGTTACAATTTGCGTAATTTTTTCTACTCTATCGTTAATTTTTTCAATTGGAGAACTACAGCAGCCATATTACATCATCATTCTCTTTGTATTTCATCAAAAGGTTAGATGCTAAGATATTTTTTGTAGAACAAAAATAAGGAGTTTAAAGAGTTAAATTACATAAATCAATAAACAATTCACAACATCGTGTAGTAATATTACTGCAAAAGTTGACACTTTTGCATATCAGAAAAAATGCAAATTGACATCAAATTACGTATGAAACTCAAAACATGCACAACATAAATATTATTCAAATTCTTCTGGAAAAATTTAAAAAGAAGAAATGCTGAATAAATTGCATAAAATCCCCACAAATCATCAGTTTTTTGTAGCTTTCGATGAACCGTTCGCCGATACTTTTTTATTTGTAGGGAGTAAGTTGATCTCTTTCTACCCATAGAATCAGCAAAGTAGTAAGTTTTATCCATTCGAGCGATCATGATCCAGTGTTCTCCTCTATCATTTCTTGGGACTGAGTCAATAATTGCAAAAGCATATTTTGTTAGTTGAGGTACTTTATCAGAAGGGTAAGATCTCATGTACTTGAACCTGAGCTCTGGAATTCTTTCAAAATTTCGCAAAAGTGAAAAACTATTCATCTTTGCAATTGTTAACTGATTTACAAGTAAAAACAAAAAAATTGATGGTTTGATTGGACAATTTAGAATAAAAAAGTATGAATAATGACTCACACACTGTTAGTTTTTGAATCAACAAAGTCCCATACACAAGCATTATGTAGTGGGCAAAGATTGAAGAAACTTCTGGGGTTTTCAAGTATCAGCTTTCATTTTCTTTTTTTTTCTGGAGGTTCAGCTCTGAAGAAAAACAAAGTAGAAAGTACAGATACAAAAACGATGGACTGTCCCAAAAAAGGTACATGATTTTTATAGGAATCTGAAAACTAAAAAAAATTAAACAATTTTAGCGATTGTTCCATATGTGTCAATTTGAATGTCTGATTGTTTTTCTCCCAAGACTATCACTTCCGTTACTTGCTCCAAGGGAAATTGGAAAAACATTTCTAATCTCAAGCTTTCTCCACTTAGTTCTGGATAGTGCAACTGTTCAGCTGCATCCTGTAATGAAGTCAAGTCAAAACCAGAATGTAGTGATTTTGGAAAACCTACATAGGAATAGCTGGAAAATCTTCGTTAAACTGCTTTGCTTTCATGTTTGTAACATAGGGGTGACAAGGAGAAGTTGTATCTAATGAAATAATTGCTCCTCCTTTCCGAATAATTCTAAGCTCTCTCAAAAGAAATTACTGATAATTGAAAAAAATTTCATAAAAAGATTCCACAACAGCTGAAATTGTATTCATTGCAACAGCTATTCTACTGATTGCGGCATTTTTGAAAACATTTTCCTGAATACACTTGTTTTGACGAGATGGAATGATACAAGTTCTTGTCATAGTAATTGTAATGCGCAGGTGCCCTTTCACAATTCCATTGCAATTATTGATGATTAGGTTAAGCTTCTAAAACACTTCTAGTAAACAACGAACAACCAACAAAGTTCGGACTAAAATTTGTATTAACAGAAAGCAGGTAAAAACTAGGACTAGCTCGAATTAGTTTAATTCGAACTTTGGTTTTTTGTAGTAATAGTTTTTTCAAGAAAACAAATCAGTGGCAAGCCTTCTATAAAGTGAAAAAGTTTTCCCTGATCCTAAGGAGTTTGCTCCATCAATGAACGGATACATATCAAATGCTTCCGAAAATTCTTCAAAACTATATCCGTGACAAGCAAGTATTCCTAAATTACTCAGTGCCGAAGAGTTGAATTCGTTCGATATGTGTGCTTTATGAGGATATAATTCATTGGCGTTGTAAACCATTGTTTTAATTAAATAAGCTTCACAATTCGAGAATAGAGAAGGCAGTAGATTGTTCAGATAAGTTATTTAAGTTTGTGGTTCCTGATCGGATTCAATCTCCAATTTTGCTTTAAGTTCTGCTTTTTCTTTAATGAAAGCATCAAACAATCTTCCTTTGAATAATTGAAGCTTCAAACTGAGGTGGGTATCACGCATATCCAAATAAA